TTCATTTGTATGGAAAAGTAAGTTGGTTGGATACCTTTTTTGGGCGAACATAAATGGTTCCTTAACGAACGCATGTGTTGTGTTGGAGTGAAAAAGTAACCCGTTTGTTTGGAAAAGTTAGTTAGTTGGCGCATTGTTTCGGCGAAAGGGTAACTTTTCTGCCGAAACGCACGCATTGCGTTCGTGTGAACAAATATCCTGTTGGTTTGAAAAAGTAAGTTTTTTGGCCCTCTTTTTCAGCGGAACGTCGAACGTTTTTGAACGAAAGCAAACCTTTGCGTTCGGTTGAACAATGTTCCCGTTTTTTTGAAAAAGTCAGTTTGTAGGGCTCATTTTGCGTTGAACGGGTAACTTTACTGTGCAAATACGGTGTTGGTTTTAAAAAGTAAGTTTGTTGGCCTTATTTTTCGGCGAAACGTCGAATATTTCCGAACGATAGCAAACCCTTGCGTTTCATTGAATAATCTCCACATTTATTTGAAAAAGTAAGTTGGTTGGCCCCTTTTTTGTTGAACGAGTAGCTTTACTGAACGAATGCAACCATTGCGTTTACTAGAACAAACACTCCGTTTCTTTAAAAAAAGTAAGTTGGTTGGGTGTATTTTTTCGGTGAACATGAAACTTTCCTCAACGAATGCACCTGTTATGTTCGTGTGAAAAATAAGATGAAAACATATGACGATACAAGTGGATGAACTTAACCTTAACCCAACAACAAAGACGGTAAGATACTAACGTATAAGTTAGAGTGTGAATGATAATATGCTCTAAATTTGGTTGGACATGAAAGGTTGTTTTATAGAAACATTTAGGGGTAAAATTGTCCATTCGGAATAAACTCCTTCAAAAATAATTTATCTCAACATTTGAAAATTACAACAAATACTTCCCTCAAATAACCTTCTTTTTTGTTGCAAAAAACATTTCCTTCAGTGTTTTTTTTTTTCAAAAAAAATCAAAAACATATTTTTCCTAATTAATGGACATTCGAAATTGTAACTATTTGTAAAAGTATCGCTACTTTTAAAAATTATATATAACAGTTCAAAAATGCTAGGCTTACCACATTTTACATACCACAATTGTACCATCTCTCTAATAGAAGTGGGCCCCATTGTATTGGTGGGCTCCACCTCTATTAGAGAGGTGGTACAATTGTGGTATGAAAATTGTGGTAAGCCTAGCATTAGTTACATACTACTTGAAACAATTACAGATATTAAAACCCAAGCTCTAGTGTCTGTAGAACCTAAATCCAATACAATTTTAAACATAAACCATACTTTGAACCCTAAAGCCCAAACCCAATTCAATGTTAACCATAAAGGCCAACCCTAGATTTTTTTTTAGTTTTAAACATGGTTCGCCCCAGATTTGAAAGTGGAAGTTAGGTTAGGTCGTTTCAATTGGTATCAGAGCATTAGGTTAACTTCCTGTACACACAACATCACATGTGCATCCTTATTTTATATATATTGCTGGACATTTCCTATGTTATTTTACCTCGTCGGCGTGGCTGAGTAAACAGGTATCCAGAAGGGTTTGAAAAATTTGTTGAAGTTTTCATATGAAAAACATATTATACATGTTGCGACAATATATATATATATATATATATTGTTGCGAACTAAGGTTTATAAAGTTGAGCACATATTTCAAATATGGAATTGTAGAATTAAAGGAAGGTTTGTGATAAGTCTTGGTATATAATTAACAAACTAGCTACATAATATTTTCCATGTCCATATTTAATACACATATTCGTGGTTGAAAAGGAAGACATATAGATTTTGGTTTTTATCAAATATGTTAATTTATCTCGATAAGTCTTGGTATATAATGAACAAACTAGCTAAATAATACTAGTCATTCATATATATTTTAATATTCTATATATTTATATTTTATATATTATATATATTGTTAACATGTGGCTCTTTTGTAGTGGGAGTCTAAAATTTTACCGTACACACACACACACAGGATCATCCACAACTAAAACAGACTTAGGTTTCTTTTCCGTTCTTTTCCTTCTTCGATTTGCTTTCCTCTCTCTCTCTCTCTCTCTCTCTCTCTCTCTCTCTCTCTCTCTGCGTGAAACTGAAACCTCATCCTTGTTCTTCTTCAGCCGTCGCGCCGCCGAAGCTCTCTCAGTCGTCGCTCCGTCGTCACACAAGCAGGTTCGAATGTGGCTTTCTTTTTTCTTCTTTTCTTTTTTTTTTTTTTTTTTTTTTTTGAAAATAAGCGATAGTATATATTATTGATGAACAAACAAAAGTACAAAGCAACTATGTGCCGAATATGTTAAAGATAAAATAAATTCAAGGACTTCTTTAAAATCAAATATCTGTTAACACAATAATTACTAATTATCTTTTAAATTAACACTCAAATCATGGCCCTCTTGACATATTCAGTAAAGGGACAACAGAACTACCTTAACTTTCAACTTTCAAGTTTCGACAAAACTACTTTAAATTTGGGTGCTTCGTGTCTACTTTACCATTTGGCTCCATCCGTTTTGATTTTACTTTATATACTTAATTTGTTTGAGTGTGGAAAATGTAGCACATCAAATTTATGTATTGTCAGTTTGTAAACACTGTACTTTTATTTGGTAAAGCTGAGTGTCATATATAGATTATTATTCTATTTTATTAAAGAAAAAGAAATCTGTTTTCTTATGGGCCTGTGAAGAAACAACATTGGAATGGAAATTCTGTGTCCAAATTAGAAATGTGTGAGGGATGAGACATGATTCTTCTTTGTCATTTTCTGTTGTTGATTAGAACAATTAGAATGTGGAGGAGCTTTTAAATTGATGATTGAACATAAGAAACTAATCAAATTATCTGTTGTGGAGTTTACGTAATAAGAGACAGAGACACAAATTATTTGTTGTGGATATATAACTTTTATGGGGATGGGGATGAGAAGGTAGAGGTACTAATACTATGCAACAAAATTTCTGCTCATTATGTGTTTAGGGAATTAGATCTGGTTGATTGCAGCTTTCCTTATGGCATCAATTAAAGTAGTGATTTCTGAGGAAAATAGAAGTTATGACTTATGTTTGTGTTTAGAGTTTTGGCTGGCCTTGCTTTCTTAATGTTTGCAAATCTACTTTTTCATAAATAATGAAGGGAGATTGTCATCAAAAGTACACTGTGAAGACTGCATATTGATTTTCACTTTGTGAATTTTCATGTAGTGTATTACATGTGGCTATTTTGTTTGGTATGGTATCGATGCTTGTGGGTTTTGTTGGAGCAATGTGTGTGTGTTTGTGTGTTTTTCTGTTATTTTGTCTGCATCCTTCTACTGCAATGAGTGCGGAAGCTTGTGAAATGTTTTTCAATGTATGTTAAGATTATGTCACGTTACTCTATTGTTTTACTTTTGGTCAAAAGAGTTACTATATTGTTTGATGTTGAGGTAGACATAATCTGTTTCATTGTTTGTTGTTTTAAATCAATAATGAAGGATAGTCGAAGGAATAATGAGGACGAAGAACATTAAGGGAGGAGCATCTCATAAAGGTTCTCGGGCCCCGAAGACCACAGTTGCAAAGGGTACGAAATGTAACTCTTCAGTGGCTTCCTCAAGCTCAAAACGACGGAAGCCAGGAAAACGAATATCGGGTCCTATGGCTAGTGGGGTGTTCGGGGTACGTGTCTTCAAACCAAGGGACCGCAATCCTTGTTCACCGTTGCTTCACTTCGATTTGGAGGAACATATCTCCTTCAAGGTATTCTTATTTAATTTTACAATTGGCATTTCTCATGTTGGAATAATTTGTAAGTAAGTGGGTCAGAATCAAATTCGTTGTACTAAATCCTTTGTGTTTTCTTTAGCTGACTTTAACAAAAATCAGAGGGTGTGGAAACAACGACAAGTGTGCTGAATGGTATAACGTAGGAATGCACGACACGGTGAAAGCAAAGGTGAAAGAAGCTGGATTTGTGCCCTTTTTGTCAATATTGGGCCATGGTAAGAAAGGGGACAGGCCATTACTTGTGGCCTTAGCGGAGAGATGGTGGGACACTACCCACACCTTCCATTTCGATGAAGTTGGAGAGATGACGATGACACCAACGGACTTCGCAGCAATCACTGGATTGCGTGTTGGTGGGAAGCGTTTACAGTACAGCTTCGAGATGTACAACCAATCGCAGACCTACTGGCAGGGGAAAAGAGAGTGCCGTATGAAAGCCTTTGCACCCGTGTTGGAACAAGATTCCGAAAGATGATAAAGAAACAGACCAAATTGCCAGGGCATTTATACTCTGCTTGATTGGCCCCTCATTCCTAAATGATAAGAGCCAATACGTGAGTATGCACTACGCCCCCTATTTGGAAATAGTATCAGACATTGGTAAATACGACTGGGGCGGTGCAGCTTTGGCTTGCTTGTATAGATCACTGGATTCTTGTTCCAGGGGCAGGTCATCGAGCATGGGCGGGTATTGGAGGGCATGGGAGGTTAGTGTAATCGAATTGAATGTCCCCAAAGTGCAACAGACTTTTTTGCTTACATTACTAATTTGTATACTTCTTTTGTGTAGGTATGGGCTTGCGAGTACCTAAAACCGTTTGCTTTATCAAGGCCCAGTGGGAGCGTGAACACGTGGCCCCGAACATTGAGGTGGGTTGGTGCAAAATCAAAGCGGGACTTGCAACATCACTTGGAACATTTTAGAGTGATGTTGCGACATCTAACAAAGGATCAGGTATAAAGCCTTGACCCTTGAACCCATATTTTATGACCACAAAAATGTGTGATTCGCAAATGTAAGAAATTTGTATTGCAGGTAAATTGGAACCCATGGGGGAGCAATGAATCCGAGTTGCCGGAAGAAGTAAAAAATACCATACCGACAACTCGTAAACGAATCCTACTTGAGGGACGAGCTGGTTCAGCCTGATTTTTGGGAGAACAGGTCGCAATGCAAAGTTTAGGCACCACAGAACCTTAAGTACCGAAAATTCCACCGAGGACAATGCTTTCGGATTATAAACTCACTGATGAGTTAGAAGTCGAGGAAGCACTTAATGGGTACCCAGCTTCCGAATGGCTTGCAAATTCATCCGACTATGCCCAGTACATAGATGAGTACATACGGTATCGCCACCAGGCGGACTTACGTGAAGCGGTACGTTCTACACTGATCGCGTGTTATGTAATTACACTTGCTGCATGAAATGCATATAATTTGTCAAAATTCTAAAATGATACCTGAATTCCACAGGAAGAACAACATCAAACTCCGGAAGGGGCCAAGATAAGGGTAGCAAACATCTCTCCTCAGCCATGGTCAGCCCAAATACCATACTGGGCCGCTGAAAATGAAAGTAAACTTGTGCGGATACTCCGTGGGCAAGATAGCCCAGATCTACCATTACCTGATGGTGTCACGTATGTAAGTAGCTTCTATTGCATAATTTATTAATACATGAGGGCTTCC